TGTGCACTTCTGGCATTGAATAAACTTCGGGCAACTTTTGATCTGTATCTGTATATCCGGTATGGTCGTCCGTGCGTGCGACCATCGCTGGCACGTGGCACGGCAGCAGCTGGCTATATATACACACCAAACGACTTGTTACACCTAACCTTTGCACAACTAAACGCTGTTTGATAGAATATAGTGCAAACACTAGCTTGGCCATTTGTATGTATACACTTACACAAGGTATTCATTTGTTGTGACATTTACTTTATCTACATCAGCCTGTGCAATATTGTATGTCCTGATGTATTGTATAATGTTATATGTCCTGATGTATTGTATAATGTTATATGTCCTGATGTATTGTATAATGTTATATGTCCAATGTCTCCCTGCATGTTCGGTCAGTTATGGCCGACGTGACCTGGGATATCAATGTTCCTTTCTTTTATTTGTGAATAAAGAATCATTGATTTTACTACAACCATCCCTCAACAGAGACGGGGGGTGCCACAGACTTTCTTCAACCTATGATCCACTGCTCACGGAGTCACGTGTGTTATCTGTGTGACGTCACGGAAGTGGTGGATTGCTCATTCCTTGAAAAAGACTGGAGTTGTTCAGTCGAAAATTTGGGTGAGTCCAATTAGTTGTGTTGGAAATTGCAGTTTAAACGTTCTACCGACACAGATGAATTTTCAAGATACTTTATCAATGATTGAGCTGTTAAAAAACTTGTTTTTCCTAGAACTATCGTAGAGTGAAAGTCGCTGCCACAAAGTACAGTAGGGCATCATCACATGATAACTAAGAGCAGACATGTGTTAGAATGTGTTAGAGGTTTGTCTAAACAGAATTGATCTGTTTTACGTAGATGTACTGTATGAATTCGAAGTAGGGAAACATCGATGCTATCAGTCTATTAAGTTCAACCGTTCAAACTACCTTCTACTACGAAATAAACGTCTATCTAAGTTACAGTATCAAAATATACAAGCCAACCAGAGACGGTGTCCATCATGTCAAGAAAGTGTTGAAAATGAATTAACGAATTTCATTTTCGTATGACAAGTCCAGCCAAGGAGGTTTAAAATCTTGTATTCAACCTCCTTGGTCCAGCTTATACTGTAGATAGTCACAAGTAAATCTAGTAAACATAGACACCATCATCATCATCATCATCATCATCATATTGGATATCTTTACGTAACGGACTGTGCGTTCGTCCGTTCCTTACGACTACGTAAGGATACGCCAGGACGTTGCCCTTGCTGATGATGAAAGCAACTGTCCAATAAATTTTTATTTTAAACCTCCTTGGTCCAATTCATTCTCGCCGTTCCTTTGTCGAACTATTTCATTAGTTGGCCATGGGAAATGATTGACATTTCTTTGGTGTTAGCCTGTGTTACACAATCTCTAACTACCAGGTGGCAATTGCAAACTGGGCGTCGTGTCTTGTTTACATTCTTTTTTCTTTTATCCACATTGTAATCATTCATTTTTTTTCTTTTATCCACATTGTAATCATGTATTTTGGCATTGTCTTTTACTCGAGAAGGCGTTATATAAGCAATTGTGCTTTTTGCCTGATGTTCATTAGATATATGTGAATAGATAAAAGAAATGCCCTGCAGGACAAAGTAAGAGGGAAGGACAAGCAATGGTTTGGAGAAGAAAAGTAGTCTAGGAAAACTTTCTAGAGATAAGGATTCTAGAGATATGCTATTCTTTCTTAAACATGTTACTCTCCAAGAAAATTGCATCATCATACAGGATTCTTTATTGACACAACAAAAAAGTACAGAGACTTTTGTATGGTCTTCTACAACTTAACTAAAGATCTAACAAAGCTAAATACATGTGTGGATAACGTCAACTTACGTACAGAGTATATGTATCATAAGCTTGTTGGGATGATGATGATGATGATCGGGCCCCTAGGAGCGCGAATTAGTATAGCACCTGTCACACATTCACGAATTTCGCCTCCCAAACACTAGCCGAACGCTCGCCATCCATGGTTAGGAGTCGGAGTAAAGTCGGCTGGTGTTCAGCGAATTCAGCTACTTACTTTACCAGCCGAATGTTTCAAAATGTTTAAAACATTCGAAGGTTGGTCGGGACGTTCGGCCATGGTTGGCTGGCGTGGGTTAGTTATGTACTCATCCCTTGCGAGACACAAAATACACCCAGCACAGAAACAGTGTTAACATTGAGTTATATGAAGCTCTTCGTGTAGCCGCCCAATGTGTGCAAAAACAGTTGAAAACGGCTACAATCTCTCCATTCCAACAGCGCGTAAGTGGCGTGAGCCACTCCGGCTGGATTGGACTCAAGAGACATAATATATAGTCGCTGAATCTTAAAGCGACTTCAGGGCAATAAAACTGGATTTTCAAAGTCAATTTTCTGTTCATTTTTTGTACGGGCACAAAGTTGAATCCTATACCATATATAATACTGATGTCTGTGAGGCAAGAATGCGATGTCGCTGCATGGTGGACAACGTTTGCTTGTATCGTATCGTAGTCTGTTTCTAGTGTATTTATTGGTGGTACCAGAAAATCAAGGGACCCCGCCCTTAGCATTGTTTTCTGGCTATATTTCAAACACTTCAAGTATGACATGCTAACGGAAATGTGCTAAGAAATAGCACTAAATAACAGATTTTCTAATCCAGAAGAATATTTCTTGTATTGCCTCCCAGACATTGCATTTGATGCCCTTAACCCTAAACTACGATAAAGATACCCTACGGCTAAATAAACCAAACCAAACGAGTTTCTTACTTACCCCGTCTTCCAGTGTTCCTTATGATCATCACGCCTTTTGTATCCTGCGTTCGGAACAGGCTAGAGAATCTGATGCTTTCCATGTCTTCGTGGCTGTAGCTCTTGTCTTTAGACGAAAAAGACTACACTATTGCTAAACGGCTGTCGTTGTCTCTTGTCGAGAGAGTGCCTCGGTCCTAACGCCTATGTATATATATGTAGTATATATATGTGTAACAGGAAACGGGAAGTTATCTACACACGTCGTCGTTGTTTCAAGGATCTGGGAAAGATGCGCATTGGTTTCAAGTCCATGCGTAGGCTAGGGAGAACCCTTATACGTAATGAAGCCTGTGATATGAGTGCACGTTTCCGTAGCGGATATATACTTTGTTCTGCTATGGTGGACGGCTAACTAAGGATGCACGATTCTACCTTGTTTGGGAAGGGTGGGCGCCAAACGAGCGTTACGAACGTCATGAATAACTTAAACCTAAGTTTGGGCATTTTGTTCTTATTTCAATGTAACGTCGATGTAATGACTCCCACTCTCAACACTACAAGTATGCGATGTCACCTGTTATGGAAGGTATAGACTATAGAGCCTTCGCCTAGGTATTCTTACCGCTTTTCCCAGCTAGCCAACGCATTCTGGCTCTTTGCACTAACGTGTTGAGTTTAGTACGATGCTTAAATTTATTCCAACACAAAGCTACACACAGATCAAATTTTCAACCACCACTGTCAACTTCATCAAAATAAATTGAAACTTTGATCTCTAGCTATGTACCTTTGCGTTGGAATAAAGTTTAGCATTGTGACGTTACTAATTTACAACCGTACATTCTCCGTGTGTTGAACCTCAGTTCAACATTTCTTTGACAGTCCAAGGACATGTTTTCGCACAAACTGGCCGTTTACCCATAAATACTCCGACCACTCAGGCACGACGGGCCCATTCTGCGGACAGTGTTGTACCAAACATGCAGTCACGTACGGTGGGTAACTCAACCCCCCATCAACAATACCTGTTCTCCATAGGCCCGAGTTATATTACCGCTGCCACACAATGCCCCGGCTAAAGGTGTCAACTCGTTCTATACAGGTATAGCCTGAAATCCTAGCCTCTACCAGGCTTCGGGAGGCGGCTGCAAAGAGTAGGCCAAATAGAGAGATAATATGCCGGGGGGAGTTCGTCCGCTAGAGAGTACAGTTTGTCGCACTGTACACTCGTACTCTCCAGCGGCACCAGCGGACCAAAGTCCCAGCATGTTATCTCTCTATTTGACCAATTTCTACTCTGGCAGCTGCCTCCCAAAGCCTGGTAGAGGCTATTAAATCCAGCCTCGTTTGGAGCGGCCATACAGCTAAGAAGGCTGAATTTCAGGCCGATATAGGTGTAGACAGACATAAGTGTGCCGATCATATACTGATTAGAAGCATGGCACATTTTCGCTGGGTACCGGTGTTTTGCAGCCACTACTCCTTTTTTTTCAGCCAAGCACACGAGACCACGTCACTTTGCTTGATAAGTTTGTTGGGGTCTTTTTTATGCAAAGGTTTGACACCTAAAGCTTACGTCAGAATCCCCCCCCCAAAGCACCCTTACACCATCCCTTCGTCATCCCTTTATAGAAAACGAAACGTAGCTATATCTGGTTTATAAGTAATCAATCGAAATCTGGACGAGTTGGACGGAATTACGGAATTTGATTTAATCCAACCCAACCCAATTTGCTTTAACTTGATTTGCTACAATCAAGTTACTCCACTGGGATAAAAGTGACTTTAATGAACCAAAATACGCTTCCTACCTATTTAGAACACGTGGAACATGTGTCGATTCAAAATGTGTATATACTATGAATGCTCATATATCTTATATAACTTTATATTTCAAATGGCGAATCGCGCAGTGCAGTAGACCCCTGAAATACAGTACTTTGAGGAGGCCTCTAGCTCCCATGCCAACTCGCTGTAACTGTATACGGCGTCCCTATGTATCCTCGCCAGGATACCCCGCCGCTCTGTGGCCCTTTCTCCTTGCACGAGACCTTCTGCTTCAAAAAACAAAAGTCTGAATCCAAAGTTGACGGCAACCTCTGCGGCTGACTGCACCCCTAAGCCGGGGTTTACAAAGAGAACACCCGATCTCCCACCGTATGTTATTGTATTAACTCCTCTGCGCCCTACTTATTTTTGCAACACCTTTCTAGAGTTTCACTCTTTGTGTGAGCAAAAGGCAGAAACAACACTTAGATAAGCGGGTACCTGTTGCAGAGCGTCGATGGATTTTCCCTCGTCTACAAGCACGAAATATTGGCGTCAGTACAGGTAAAGCCAAAGTGTTTGAATTGTGTACAGCTCGGAAAGGGATATCCTTGATATTCAGCGGACTGGCTGAAAACGAACGAAGGTTAAGACCACACGGTCCCCGCTCGACGAGCCTGCGAAATACTCTTGACTTTTTCCGAGTGATTGGTCGTCAAGGAACCCGGGCACTTCGTTGCCTGCTTCTGGTCATGGGACGTTAGGGGAATTCCGATGCCATAAATTGGGGAAACTTTCAAAGAAGACTAGTGTTGACTCCAGCAATTCGCACTGAGAGGTTGCAAGGAGGCATTTAATTGTTTCGAGTGTGTGGGATCGCTTTCCGTGGATCAACATGGTGGATTCAGCTGGCTGTGTGAAGTAACAAAGTGTCCTGTGTGATAGATACTCATATATTTCCAGATAGCGGACACAAAGTAGAGGCACTTTGGATAGTTCCCTCAGAACAGCGTTAAACACAGTTTGCCAGAATCAGTCGCCGTTTAGAAGAAGGCACCAGTAAACGAGACGTGAGCTAGTTTTTTTATTTCTGTAACCTTTTCGTGACCTTTCTGACGCCATGACCCTGACAGAGGAGTTTTGCGCCATTTTCCGATCCGTTCACGACTTTTACGACAAACTACACAAGCAGAGATGGCTGTCGACAGAGCAGCGCGAGCAAGTCTTAGACCTAAAGGGCTTCTTTGGTCTGGTGGAGGGGACCAGCCTCCAGGAGTTGCTAGAAACCATCGCGAACTCTTTCAAACCCACCCCAATCTTGGTAGACTTTAGGGACGAGGAACACCTGGAAGAAGAACTACGTCAACTTCTCAACAGAAAGGACTCGGAACTTCCCGCCACGACTTCTCTCCCTGAGCCAAAGGCCACGGAGAAGCTCGGCGACTTCGTCAACGGGATACGGAAGCGCTCTCGCAAGGGGAAGTACGCCAAGAGTCCGGCTGCGGCGGTAGCGATGATTCCCGAGAGGTGCCCGGAGGTTCTCCCGAGGACTTTAATGCGGTACCAGATGAACATCGCTTGGAACACCGCCACCGGATTCCCCCACGCGCTGGACATTTACAAGTGTGACGTGCCGCCCAGCTACGAAGTCAGGAGAGCGGCGCTCATGGGCCAGGTGTACGAAGAGAGACACGAAATTCCCGAAGTTTTGTCCGTCAAGAAACTGGAATACGTCTGCCCTCCCATCTACACCCGCCTGAAGAACACGAAACCGTTCGGAAAGGACTGGCAGGTGAGTTATTTCACCAAGGGACAGTTCCGGACGGTGGAGACAGACTTTCCCGCCTGGATAACTCACGAGAAGTTGAAGGGATTCCTGACGTGTGACCACTGCGTCACCAGGTACAACTACCGCACACACACAGGTAAGGGTCCTAGGCTGTTATACTTTCTGCATCTTCATAGGAAGGAAAGCATATTTTGATTCACTTTTGTTGAATAAATTCTATTGATACATTAACATTCTATTTTATTGGCGACACAGCAAAAACGCAGATTTAGACACCTTTCTGTAGAATACTGTGGAAAATAGGACAAAATATTATGATACATGTATCAGCATACACTCCGAGGGGCATATACATGTTATTATCTGCACCTAACCTGCACTGATCCATGTACTGTTTTTAAGCGTAATATAATCTCCAAGCAGATATTTTGATGACTGTAAAGACACTATCAAATTGGCCACGTTGTATCCATTTGCCAGACAATTACCGGTACCATTTCGCCACCCAATGGTGAATCTGAGATGACTAGTGTTGACAAAATTAGTTCATCCTCACAGCAACGTGGTTATAATTAGCTTGAGTCCTCGCATCCTGACGACCGTTTTGCTCACGTAACGTTGTCACGAGCTTGGTAAATTGACTCGGTGGTTGGTGTTCACGATAGCGCTTCCTACAAAAAGTCCTTGATATAGATATTTCATGTAACACATTGCACTTATAAGCTGCAAAGTTGTCGTTTGGTGCGTGACATTCCCAAATAAGGAGAAGCGCTCAGCAGATGAATCGGTGCGGATTGCTTTGTCTATTGTACCGCTTCGACGTCGATCTCTAGTGGTGCACACTTCCAATTAGGGAAAAAGGTTCTATTTCGGCTACAATTGCGACGTTTTTCAAAAGTTGCTACATCTTTTTGATACATGAATACCCACTATAGGTCCTTTCGGTGGAGCACGCCAGGCCTAATAATAAATCAAAAAGGTACACGTGAATTATTTTCGAGATTGACCTACATTTTGAAGGTGTTCATTATTCAGCAACTGTTTTTATATCTACTAATGTTACATGTGAACAAGTGGGTAGCCTTTGCGGTCAAATTAGGTCCAAACACGCAGCACACACATAGGAGAAAATCATTACGTAACTAAATTAGCTAGCTAACAACGCGTGTTCAAGAAAACAGTAAAATTTAGCCGAAGGGAGAATAGTTGGCAGGGGAGTTTGGCCACTGTAGAGTTCATTTGCCCGTACCGGTTAACCCTCTCGCGGACTGACTCTCCTGGCTGATTATTTCCTTTTTTTGCTCGAATTCCACGATCCGTAACCCCGTAGGAAAGCCTGCTGCATGGGCAAGCATTAAGAATCCTGCTCACATAGACCATGATTTTATGAGGAGTCTTCCTGAACCGAGCAATTTGCTAGAGTTGTCCAGTACTGTGTTTTGTACTCTTTATGTTATGTTTAATAATAATAACGCAAAATTGCTGTTGTGTCATCATGAAAGTCCATCTGTGTTGGTATTTACATGTTTAAAGTTAAAACTTTTACTCCAACACAAAAGATAAATGTTCTCACCTAGCTATAGGCCTTTCTACCAGTCACTCTGGTACTGGTCTTCTTCAATAGACTGACCCAGTGAGACTAGTCACGTGTCTTCTCTGAAGTGTTAAAGGTATCTTCGTGTTGGAACAAACGTTTTAACTTAAAAACATTGTTGCTATGTCCCCCCAGGCGCCACCAACGCCCTGTTCCTGTTACTGATCCGTGACGACACATACCGCCGCGCCGCCCCAGGCTCGTCCCCGAACGGCGTGCGGGCACCCAAGGAGCACCTGTTCGCCAACCTTCCTTCCGAGTTCCAGGTAAGTACTAGTATGTGACGTTTTGCTGAGGTCACATTTCCAAGCCGGGCCCGGCCGGACAGTTTCTAGGAACGAAAGTATGGCATAAAAGACATCAAGACACAAAAAATTTGCAACAATTTTATTATGAGCACTATCTGTACATATTCTTGATATGAATTGTTTATTTTTCGTTATAACGTAAACAGCCCTATCGGACCCCGTATTGGAAATGTGACCTCAGCATTAAGGAGTGTACGATATTTATAGGGGGAAGGGTCGGTCGTAAGGGGGTCAAGTACAAAAAATTTCCATGACCCTCCCTCCAGCTCAAAACATTTTCCCCGACCCTCCCCACAAGCTAATATTTTGTCCTTGATCCTAAATATCGTACAGTCCCTTATAATTGTCTCTCCTAGATTGTCGAGAAGTTAGAGATGAGTCCTCCAATGCATGTAAAATCTCATTCCTATCCCACACTAGCTACCCACTCTTGTATTACTTAGGTTAGCCTTATGGAATTGTAATTATGTACTAGTATAGATTTCATGGCCATACTTTGTACCCTGTACAACTGTTGTGCAATGAACATGAATAAAGTTGATATGTGGACCGTTCAAGTTAGAATTCCCCAAACATCTTACTGACAGACTTTGCTTCCTATCATAGCTCTTTTTCATCAGCAGGCATACTAATCTTCCTTTTCTCAGCACTAAGATGAACTAATGCAAACTTATCGCTTCTTAAGGAAGAACATTGTAGATGTATAAACATATGACGTTTATGATACATGGTTAGTCTAGTTTCATAATGAATACGAATTTTCTGTTCAATTTAAATGTCTAAAGCTGGGACACCTATCTTGTACATAAGTATAGATAATATGGGTCTTATTTTTTATATAATTGACGTACTAATTCACAGCCTAAATGTGTTCAACTGCCTACGGAAAACTATATATATATACTAGTATATATATTCTTCTTCAAAACATTATGATCCTGCCAAAGTTGACCACCACTGTGTCCGGTACGTTTCTATGTTGCTCAATGAAAACAAAACAAAACAAAACAAAACAAAACAAAACAAAACAAAACAAAACAAAACAAAACAAAACAAAACAAAACAAAACAAAACAAAACAAGGGAAATCGTAGATTTCAAACCTCCGGGTTTTTTTTGTGTTCTATTGGTTTAGGTTATTTGTTTGTGTGTAGTATGAAAGTTATGTGCGTAATATGTTTGTATGTGTTTGATGGCTACTGACGGTTGGTTCGGTATGGACTGTTGATTAACGTGTCTCACAGTCTGACAGCCTGCCCCGTCACCCGCGCCATTACCCCCGCCGTCATCCCGCGCCGTCATTGCTGCGCCGTCACCCAAAATTTTTATCGGAACCAGACACCCCTCTGTTTGACCCCTTTTGAATGCTAAGACCCAAAACTGCAACCGCCCCATTCCTTAACAACATGGTAATTACCATTTTCAGCATGGCGGGGGTGTCCGGAGCACTTAAAAACCTTTTTATTTCGACGCCCATAAACACATATGCAATTAAACAAAAACGTTCTGCATCATCTGCAGCCCAATAGCAATACGTATACCGAACCACAGACAAATCCGTCCAGCCGATCGCGAGAAACAGCTGCTGACAGAAATGTTTCGAACCATAGTAAAACCTCCTCGCGGAAGGATATCTCCTTCCCCGGAGGTAACAAAACAAAACAATTCACAGCCAACTTCCCCTGTCAGTAAGTACTTTAATCAAGCTGACGCCATTTCCTTCCTGAGGAGAAGAGATACTGACGTCATAGCTAACGAGACGATCGTTCGGGCTTGTCTGGAAATCTTTTGTGGCGTTGTCTCTGTTTCCGGACCTCTCTCTCTAATTGTGGTGGTGTTTTTTTTTTAATTTCTGCACGCCTTCCTCTAGCGGCGTCACAAAAGGCTCACGAAACAATCCTGGCGCGAATTCATCTATTTTGAGATCAGCGTCGTCATACGTAACAATCGCTTGATGAGAAGCTCAAGGGTTGTGTAGCGTACGTAGCGGTAGCGTGTTCGGCTCGGAACCAAGAGGTCCCGGGTTCGAATCCTACCTTGTCACCGATCTTGTGCGGCCCTTGGGAAAGGCACTTTACACGACTTTCCTCACTTCACTCAGGTGAAAATGAGCATGCCAGAATTAATATGATCGTGGGCATTAAAAGGAAAACAAAACAAAAACTCTGTTGATCAAATTAAAGGTGTTTAACATATCTATTACCGCCACAAAAAAACACACAAACAGACAAACAAACAAGGTGGGGGTGTTATGATATGTTTCACAAGCTAAAGATTTTTAAAGGCCTAACATGACAAAATAGGACTAAAGGCTGGAAAGTTTTGGGATTGCAAACACATTCACTCGACGAAAGCGGCAGTGGTCGTTAAAATTTGATCTCTCTTTCCTCGCTGTGTTGGAATTAAGTTCAACATTGTACTACACATGCACTTGTTCGTAGTTCCATATTTAACATTTGTTAATTAATATACATCCTGCTGGTAGAATGTACAATAATGGCTACAGTAATTGTCACCTGAGCTCCAGACGTATGGTTCGTTATCATACACATGCCGGAGATAGCTCATTTTAGGAAACGAGAAGCGCCCGTCAGATAGATGTGACGCTTTTCAGATTTCTTTCAGAAGTCACGATTTCTGTTCAATATGCGTGCGTCACATGTATATTAACTTTTTTGGTAGAAGAAGTGAGTGTCGTCCTTGACGGTTAAATTATGAATTCCTCCTAATCTTGAAGCGAGGTCTTCTACTACTTCCTGTACAGACATAAGTCATCTTTTCTTTGCTTAAACAACGATTTTATTTCAGGTTTCCATTCGAGGCTGAACTCAATTATCTCTCAATCATCTCTCTCTCCACCTCTCAGACTCTCTGTTTCTCTCTCTCTCTCTTGCTCTCACTCTCTCTCAGTCTCTCTCACTCTCTCAGTCTCTCTCTCTCTCTCTCTCTCTCTCAGATGATGCCAAGCAAACTTTTGTTTTTTTTCTTTTCATTCCAAGGTGTACGTGGGCACAGCTGAGCGGGGCACCTTAGACCGGTGGGTGTACGGCAGGAACTCTCACTGTAACTCCATCTGGGCCTTCTACAAGCACGTCAACCAGCTCAAGGACTGGAAACCCTTCCCGGGGAAGATCAGCCTCGCCGAGCTCTCGCTCGCTCTCGCGAGAATGAGGGGACAGGACTGCGCGCTGTTCGTCATCAGTAACCATAGTAACGCCCAGGACCTGGCAGACGAGGCCGCTCGGCTAATCAACCACTACGAGCTCGGACCGTTCACGGACATGAGGTTCGGCATGAACGAGAAACTCAAGCAGACTTTAGTGCCGACTAACAGCCGGGAAGTGCCGTCCATCCTCACTAAAACATGGTGACAACCTAAATAGCACCTGCCCCATCCTCACTAAAAAAATGGTGACTACTTATCTCACTAGGACATGGTGATGACAATCTGTCAGCAAGCTGCATTACACATTTGGGGCCATTAGGACGATAGAAAAAGTCACTTTTCTGGTCTATACTTTACAAAGTAAGTTGAATCAACCCCATACGGTTTACGGATACCATGGAGTTAAAATCAAGATTTTAACTCCATGCCGTAGTATACGTACAGTATACGCCGAAGAACCTAGCCTGGTTACCAAACCTATTATAGCTCCTGAGTCCTACAGCCTCTCCTATACAGCCTCTCCTGCGGACTCGGGAGCTATAATAGGTTTGTTAACCAGGCTACGAAGAACCACCATAACGGCACAAACCGTTGAGCAGATGAGCTACTACCAAATAGACATTCATGTAATCGGAAGACATAACAACCTCTCTCCCTTGAAACAATGGATTGGTCAATATACCGTCATTTCAATGGAATAGAGGATGAACATGTACAACATTTTGCAGTACAGTGCAGTTTGTACAACACTGACTGACTGAGAGAGATGAATGTATAGACTGATAACGGCAATGTTCTCCTAGTTCACACACCTAGGGAATACATGTCCAAACAGCATACTACATTGTATTAGACAAACCTCTGATCCTGAAACATGTCTGTTCAGATTTACTTCATAGACTAGTGCTACCTTGATCATGTGTATGTATATGTCACAGTAGAGTTGGCAACTCTACTAGTAGAGATGCCAATTGGCATCTCTACTAGTAGAGATGGGAATCGTATTTATACGATTCTAGCAGGGCACAGTCAAATTAGTTACCTAATTCTAGCAGGGCACAGTGATATTAATTACCTAAAATGTTTTGGAAAATAGACTGAATATTTTCACACCTCAATCATTACCCAACATCACTCAATAGCTGTTTGTACATGCCACTGAAATGTAAAACAGAAAAAAATTGTTCCTTGCTAGAATTGGAGAATATCCTGGTCTAACTCAAAGAATTCCCATTTGTCCTATAAAAGATTAGAATTCCAATGTCTGGTAAGAGAATCTGGAACACTCCTAGTAGATATTATAGTAAAAACACCTCTCTACTAGTAGAGTTCCCAACTCTACTAGTAGAGATTGGAACTCAGTAGTATAAATACTAGGATTCCCATCTCTACTAGTAGAGTTGCCAACTCTACTGGATTTCCATCTCTACTGTGACATATACATGTATATACCTTTGTTGTGACCTGTAGTTAACCCATGTATGTATCTATGTATGTAACGTTATGTATGTATGTATGTATGTATGTACAATCAAGGAGCTTCTATAGAATAAAGGTCTTCTGAAGTTGATTTGGGGCACGTGTTCAGTACAATGGGCCTAGGCTAATGGTACCGACGCGCGTTGGAACTGATCGAGAACCGCCGGTTGTCAGAAGAACATTCTTCACACTTCCTTGCGTTGTAAATGATTGTGCAAAGCTATCAAAGTGTGGTGAGAAGAGTGTTGAACAAAAGGTACACGAGATGTTACTGATTGCCAACCGTGCCGTGCGTGTATTCTTCTGGCTCACACGCACATCATTATTTTGCTGCATCTCGGTACGACCTGGATCATTAGCTTTCAATGGTCCCGCACGGGGGCCGCGGGTAACAATAAGTGCATGTTCTCTTGTACTGACTACTAGTATCACTTGTTGTTGATACATGTATATCATATAGAAATGAGAGAGATACTGCCTCTATACATGTATGCAAGTTTCCGAACTTTAGACATTTAGATTAAGCAGAAAAATTAGTACTAGTGTTCCTTATGAAACTAGACACAATAGTTCCATGCAATGTATGTTCATACATACAACACTGTCACAGTGTTGTATGTATGAACATACATTGCATGGAACTATTGTGTCTAGTTTCATAAGGAACACAGTGTCTTAGAAGCGTGAAGAAGTAAAACCTGTAAATAGAAGTTTACATCGATATCAGTATGTATGTTTTTTTAGTACGATACATGTACTTTTTTTACATCTGCTTTATACGCGTCCTGTACGTAGCTCGTATTAAACAGCATAAAGGTACAATATAGGTCTTTAAATTTCATTCTTCCTTCATATTAAAAATCATCGTATTG